ATAAATTAAGGGTAACCTTTCATGAGAAAAATATTAAAACTTCTATTCCTTCTACAACTCACAGTTTTCTGGTTGTCATGCTGACCTTCTGGCTTCAGTTCTTTAGGAGTTAGTGACCTGGAACAAATATACAAACAAGGGCTGCTGACTATTTTCTGATTTTCTACCTTTGCATACTTGCTGTGTTTTTTGAGATTCTTTTTAACTTGCCTCCTTTCTTGCCAAAGAACACCAAACTATATGTATTCTATTAGCCCATATATTGCTGTAATCCTTTGAGAGCATCTTGGTACAAAAAAAATCTGAAAAAGGTCATCTGTGGGGATGAGGTTTGGGTTCACTATTATCATGGGTTCATTAATATTATTATACAGTATTTATATAGCGCCAACAGTTTGCTCAGCATTACAATGGGAGACAATACATGAGACAGAACAATACAATGCGATACACGAGGGGTTCGAGGGCCCTGCTCCTTGGAGCTTACAATCTAGGAGGGAGGGGATAGTGGTACGGGAGGAAAAGCTGTGGGGGATGGAATGGTAGGAAGAGTGGAGGAGATTGGCAATTAGCAGAGGACGGGGTAGGCTTCCCTGAAGAGGTGGGTTTTCAGGGTGCACCTAAAGGAGAGGGGAGTAGGTGATAGTCTGATGGATTGGGGTAGGGAGTTCCAGAGGATGGATGATGCCCTGGAGAAATCCTGGAGGAGCATGGGAGGAGGAGACCAGGGAACTAGAGAGAAGGAGGTCTTGTGAGTGCGTTTTGGGTGGTATTTGGATATTAGGTCAGTGATGTAGTTTGGGGCAGTATTATGAACAGCTTTGTACGTCAGTGTTAGCATTTTGAATTTGATCCGTTAGGCAATCGGAAGCCAGTGGAGGGATTGGCAGAGGGAGCTGGTGGAGAGGGAGCAGTTGGTAAGGTGGATGAGTCTGGCCGCCGTATTCAGGATTGACTGAAGCGGGGATAGCCTGTGGTGAGGCAGGCCAGTGAGGAGGGAGTTGCAGTAATCGAGTCATGATATGATGAGGGAGTGGATGAGTTGCTTAGTAGTTTCTGGGGTTAGGAATGTGCGTATTTTGGAGATGTTGCGGAGGTGGAGTCTGCATGAGTTTGTTAGCGATTGGACTTGGGGCTGGAAGGATAGATTGGAGTCAAGAATGACACCAAGTACTCTGGCCTGTGGGGCGGGCCTGATGGTGGCATTGTTGGACGTGATGGAGAAGTCAGTGGGGGGGGGGGGTGTGCGAGCTGGGGGGAAGACTAGGAGCTCGGTTTTGGAGAGGTTCAGTTTAAGGAAGTGGAGCAACATCCAATCTGATATGTCGTTCAGTAGGCTTGTGATTCGGGCGGAGACTGAGGGGGTGAGGCGAGGGGTTGAGAGATAGATTTGCTTGTCGTTGGCATAGAGGTGGTAGTTGAAGCCGTTAGAGTGTATCAGTTGGCCAAGGGTGGAGGTGTAGATGGAGAAGAGAAGGGGCCCGAGGACAGAGCCTTGAGGGACCCCAACAGAGAGGGGGAGTGAGGGGGAGGTGGTAGCATTATAGGTAACGCTGAAGGTTCATGGGGTTTCCCCAGGATTTGCAAATTGCAAACTTGCCAGAAATTTTGAAGATTCAGCACTGGAAATAAAGAATAACCTATCATTCAGTGCATAGAATTTTCCCTTGTCGGCTGCACCAGAAGAGCCAAGATTTGAAGGGATGTATAACACAGCCCCCTTTCGATAAATGGGTTGGCTCACAGCATCCATGTTATCAGTGTGTTGGACCTGGTGAGGAAAGCTAACGATTCTGTGTAGAGGAAGAAAACTTTTTTTTTTTTTTGGCATTGGTAAATGTTCTCCATGAAAGTGCCCAGCTTCCCATGCATATTGTTTGATGAGATTTTGCTTTCTAGTCTCTCAAATAGACTTTATAAGGTTTGCCGCAAAGTTTGCAAACTTTGAATGTTGTGCAAGGTTTGCAAAACTGTTTGCGAACTGCGCCCAGGCAAATTTGCTCACCCTTAGTCATTTCTTAATTTTTTCATTTGCAATGATTATGCTAGACTTAGAACGATAACTTTTAATGTCAACCTCTTAACTCAGAAAATGTAACCACTGATATATGTATATGGTAAGTATATGGTTCAGTCCTTGATTTTATAAATTTTTTGCTTATAGAGTGCCATTATCTTTCATCATGTTTTACATAATAAGTGGTAGTCTTGTAGATAACAGAAATGTCCTTATTGGGAAGTATTAGGCTACAACACCTCACCCAATGTCATTACTAGGCCCTGGGTCTTGGGCATGTATCTACCATGATGTATTCCATATGCACGTACAGACTGAAGTATACAACTGGGGCCTTGCTATCTTGGTAAATGACCAGCACAAACCTCCTTTTTTAGCATTAACCGCTTCCTGACTTCCCTATAGCAGAAATACTGCTACAGGGCAGCACGGTTGCGCAAAATCATGTATATATACGTGATTTTGCATTTCTGGGTGCAGAGAAATACAAAGCAGCATGTCCTTGCTGGCAGGAGAGAGACCTGTGTTGATAAAACACAGGTCTCTCCCCTGTCAGCTTGATACGGCGATCGCCGGGTGCTGGCAGGGAATCTCTTGCTGGGACCTGGTGCATGACATCCCTAGCCGCCAATAGCCGCCAATAGCCGCCAATAGCCGCCATGTATATAGAAGTGATTTTGCGCAGCCCTACCACCCTGTAGCAGTACTTCTACTATAGGGTGGCAGGAAAGTGGATAGAGCACACTTTTTAAAGTGTAAGTAAATCCTAACAATGAACTTCTCTTATTTGATCCCTTTTGGTCTGTTAAAGCAGTAGTTAACATCGCTGGTACACTTGTAACTACAGGCAAGCTTATAATAAAGATTACCTGTAGGTACAAGAAACATCTCCTAAATGTGCGCCGTTGAGGACATATTCATTGTTTCTGCAGCAGCTGACATCACTAGTGCATGTGCTCTGAAGAGATGGTATACTCATGCTGTTCCCTCAGAGCTCTGTTTTGCGGCTGCGACTCTTGCGGGCATGTACGGGATTGATGTCATCACAGCTCGGCCATTCGAACTGCTGGAGTCCGCAAACCCAGAGTGAAGATGGAAGCCCTGTCAGCGGTGAAAGCATGCAGCTGGAGGGCTTTGTTTTAAGGCAAGTATTTCATAATGTGCTAGTATACAATGCATACTAGCACGTTATGCTATTACCTTGGTGGAGAAGGGTTTTTTTTTTTTTAAATGAAAGTTTACTACCGCTTTAAATATACAATTGAAAGTGTTCATACATCTGTTGTAACAGTGCAAAAAATACCTGTTGATCCTGCCAGAAATCATATGAGCTGAAAACAACCTGTGCTCTCTGCTGCATTGTTTTCATATAGCATTGTTTCCACTTTTCCCATGTGGCCTACAGAGCACCTACTCTCATATTATGGATATGAGGAAAAAGGGGAAGGTGTTGTGCAGTTCTAATACATTTCCTGTCCTAAGGTGATAATGCTGCTCCTCCATAGATATAGTACAATGAGTAAGTGTTGCCATCCTAAGCCATGAAGTGTGTTACTGACAGGATCACCAGGTGAAAATAAAAAAAAGGAGTGAAAATGAAAACTAATGCAGGCATTTTAGCTAAAGATTGGTGAACTATATATTACATTTTTGTTCTTTTTTTGTTCATTTTTGTTCTTTAGGTACCTTAAACAGAGTGACAGTGAAACTGTTAATTTATTTAGTGATATTTCATTAAACCACTCAGCATACTATACTGGAGGATTTCAGTCATGTAAACAGATTGAAAAAATGTATCTCTCTTTGTTTAGATTCTTAACTGCTATATCAAGGTGACCAGATTTCAAAATGAAATCTGGCGATACCCTACGGATCACACCCACTCCCACAAAAATCACACCCCCAATTTTAACAAATATCTTGAATAATTGGTCACAAATTTTAGGAACTTTTTAGGAAATTTTTGGACTCTTGATAGTCGACGACTATCAAGAGTCTAATGGCAGAGTGGCGGAGCAGAAGCAGCTTTCAATTGAAGGCCATACACAGGCCTAGGTTTAAAAGTCCCTCACAGTTAATTCCAATAACGAACTCTACTCCTCCTCCGTGCAATCTACTTACGAGACCCTGGGCAGGTCTGGGTCCAATTTGTGGTAGAGACTGGTTTTGTTCAGCCATGTTTGAGCGAGTAATAACAGGTCTGTGCTGCCCTTTGGTGTCTGGCTTAATGCGCACAACACTGAACGTCCCAGCGTTTGTCAACGATTTGCCGTTAAGTGATGCAAACCCGCTGAACCACGTTCATGAGGAGCCGGTACAGGGGGCCATGAATCAGTATGGACCTGGCAGCAGCGTGAGCAGACGACAGAGGCACATGGCGCAGGGTGGCGGTGTAGGCAGCATTATTCTGAAGCCATACACAGGCCTAGGTTAAAAAGCGGAAGCCGTCAGCAGCGTGAGCAGACGACAGAGGCACATGGCGCAGGGTGGCGGTGGATGCAGCAGTATTCGGAAGCCAAACACAGGCCTCGGTTAAAAAGCGGAAGCCGTCAGCAGCGTGAGCAGACGACAGAGGCACATGGCGCAGGGTGGCGGTGGAGGCAGCAGCAATGGAAGGCCATACAGCACCCTATCACAAAATGGAACCCACCAACAGTGTAAGGAGACCTGAAAGTGGCACATGGCAGAGTCTGGCGATGAAGTCAGCAGCAATGGGAGGCCGTACAGGGACCCATGACACACTCTGGACCTGGCATCAGCAAGAGGAGGCGGTACAGGGGCCCATGGCAGAGTGGCGAAGCGTAAGCAGCTTAAATTGAAGGCCATACAGAGGCCTATGTTAAAAAGTCCCCCCAGCAGCAGCGTGGGGAGACGACTATTAGCTGCTTACGCTCCGCCACTCTGCCATGGGCCCCTGTACCGCCTCCTCATGCTGCTGCCAGGGTGGAGCTGGAATCTGCCATGGGCCCCCGTACCGACTCCTCATGCTGCTGCCAGGCCCGTAATCTGTCATGGGCCCCTGTACCACCTCCTCATGCTGCTGCCAGGTCCAGAGTGTGTCATGGGTCCCTGTACCTCCTCCCATGCTGCTGTCTCCATCCCACACTCTGCCATGTGCCACTTTCAGGTCTCCTCACAGTGCTGGTGGGTTCCATTTTGTACCTGGCCTCCCATTGCTGCTGCCAGGCCCGTAATCTGTCATGGGCCCCTGTACCGCCTCCTCATGTGCTGCCAGGTCCAGAGTTGTCATGGGTCCCTGTACGGCCTCCCATTGCTGCTGTCTCCATCGCCACACTCTGCCATGTGCCACTTTCAGGTCTCCTCACATGCTGGTGGGCTTCCATTTTGTCATAGGGTGCTGTATGGCCTCCCATTGCTGCTGCCAGGCCCGTAATCTGCCATGGGCCCCCGTACCGCCTCCTCATGCTGCTGCCAGGCTCGTAATCTGTCATGGGCCCCTGTACCGCCTCCTCATGCTGCTGCCAGGTCCAGAGTGTGTCATGGGTCCCTGTACGGCCTCCCATTGCTGCTGTCTCCATTACCACACTCTGCCATGTGCCACTTTCAGGTCTCCTCACACTGCTGGTGGGTTCCATTTTGTCATAGGGTGCTGTATGGCCTCCCATTGCTGCTGCCAGGCCCGTAATCTGCCATGGGCCCCCCGTACCGACTCCTCATGCTGCTGCCAGGCCCGTAATCTGTCATGGGCCCCTGTACCGCCTCCTCATGCTGCTGCCAGGTCCAGAGTGTGTCATGGGTCCCTGTACGGCCTCCCATTGCTGCTGTCTCGATCGCCACACTCTGCCATGTGCCACTTTCAGGTCTCCTCACACTGCTGGTGGGTTCCATTTTGTCATAGGGTGCTGTATGGCCTCCCATTGCTGCTGCCTCTACCGCCACACTGTGGCTCCACACTCTGGTTTTGGCCCCGTGACTGCCCAAATGAGTGAAGTGTGCGGTGATTCTAAGATCGACGGCACTCATCTGCATGTCATACTGACTGACAGTATTATTTCTCTTCCCCAGCAGACTCCAAGGGCATTTAAATTAAAGGTACAGTGTTCTGCACTAATATAAAGGCTCTCTGAAGCCTAGAAACACCCTTTTTACACGTTAAATTCGCAGCGAATATATTCGCCTCGAATCGAATTTATTCCGCGAATTCGGCGAATCAGCCGAATCGAATTTTGAATAATTCGCTCATCTCTAGTCACCACTTCTACATGCCTAAATGCATTGAGTTGCTGCATGTGGTTGGCTGATTAGCAATTTGTGCTACCAAGTAATTGAACAGGTGTACCTAATAAAGTGGCCGCTGAGTGTATACTCCAGATGACACAAACAAGCATACCACAGCTTCATCAATATGTCACTTATTTTAATACTCTAAATTCTCTGACTAGCCCTTCCTTCATAACTGCACATAATTCATTCATAGAATGAACAGAAGTATTAATGTTCTTAGAATGTGGTTTTGTCTCATACAATAAAGCCTATGGATTGGATACTCCTCAATGGCATTGGTGGCACCTATCACCATTTACACTGTTAACAAGAGCTTCACAAATAGCTATGGCCATGTCTTGGTCTATTTAACAGAATTTATGATAATGTCTATTTTTTTTTTCCTAGTGCTAACAAACTAATCCTCCTGTTTTATATGATAATAGTAGAAATCCACTAGTTAGTCTAAATATAATCCACATCTCTTCATTTTCCATCACTAAACAGACATCAATTTCTTGTGATTTTTAATTATCTTGAATGATGAACAAACTTGGAACGTCAGCATCTGAACTAAATATGTTATGAATATTATGTTCTAAATTCTTTATCTAATGATGGTGAGGGACCTGTTTAAACGCTGCCACATGTGTTACTAGACATGATTGTGTCTCATCCATTTGGAAGAGCTTATGAAGCAATCTTTACGGTTATATTGAAAAAAAAAGATATACATTCAGTTTAAATGTGGGGTGCTACAAATTAAAGAATAGCAGTACTCCATAAGAAATAAACAGAATGCCAACATCAAATCTGCTAGAATTCTGAAAATTACTGTGGTAGCGCATTTTGCTGATCTGCATACAACTGATTGTTGGGAACATTTACTTCCAGCAATAAATCTTTTATACGCAAAAACCTGCTCACTTTAGCATGGTGGTCTATAATCCTTTGCGTCCATACCATTCAGAGTATCCTTTAGGGAAAATTTGGAATGAAGTTGTTTGGTACCCATTATTCTATATCCTTGTTCTGTATTATTTGGTGATGTTTACCTCTACTTTTGGGGCATATACTTTGTACCCTTAAATAGCTGTATGGGAGATTAACTGTGAAATCATTTGTTGTTATAATGATGTTATAAGATGCTGAAGAACAGTTAAGATTATCATACCTAGTTCTGCCAGGACTAATCTACTAGCCATGCTGTAATCACAGACTAACATTATAGAGGCACACAAAACTAGTGTAGGCTTAAAACATGGTACTTCCAAAATAAATTAAGAATCCAATCACACCTATGTGGTCCATTGGGGGTGCACTAGCATACACAAGGAAATACGCAATACTGTGCACTTTGCAGCCCATTTATTCAAATGCCATAGCACCAAAATGGACCAAAAATAGACATGCACCAAATATTCTGAAGCATTCCACTGCACCACAATGTATGGCATTGCGCCAGCATGTGTAAGGGGCTACAATGAATAAGCATCAGGGGTGTGTTGCTTTTGTCCAATTGGGGTGCTACTGAACATACAATAAATGGCACTGCAGCATACTTACAGATTTATAATGTGTTATTACAATGCACCACAATGGATAGATGTAAATGAGCCTTAAAACCTAAAAACAAAAATTAAGTACACAGCCTTTGATCTTTTCTAATTTTAACCTCTAGAGCAGGGGTCTTCAAACTATGGCCCTCCAGGAGCTGCAAGTCCCATGATGCCTTGCAAAATGCTGACAGCCACAAGCAAGACTCCTGGAGGCAGATGCATGATGGGACTTGTAGTACTTCAACAGCTGGAGGGCCATAGTTTGGAGACTACTAAGCAAAATGGTAGTGTGACAAGAACACCCCTACCTGGAAAAAGAAGGTTACTAGGTGATCCACGCGGAGTAATATAAATTCAAAAATATTCCAAACAATACTTTATTTGATCACATAGATCATAAGGAGGTTAAACATGAGCACGGCTTACATATGAAAAAATAAATAAAATCATGTTAAAAAGCACTAGGCGTCTTCAGTTTCGGGTCATCTTAGCAAATAGAGTACCATAAGGCAGAGTTATATAGTGGTGATGTAGTTATCCTGGGTTTCCATGGGTTTTCATCTAGTATTCAAATGAACCATGTATTCAGCAGATGTGTTCCCAATATATGTCAGGTATCTCCTGGTATGAAACAGCTGGAACACAGAAATACATAGTATATATATAGAAGTATGAAAACCAAAAAACCAAAACACATCCAAAGTTCACCAGACCTCCCTCTACAGTAGTCAATGGATACTACTATTACCTTCTCAATAGTGAAATTAACAGGCCAACTTCTCAAATGTAGGGACTTCCTGGATAGCCACCCCAAGTGAAACAGGGTCCACAGTACCAAATGATTCTGAGGATATATATAGAAGAAAAATAATGATACATATAAAAATCGTGGGCATCAGGTTACCCTGAAAACAGGACACACATAAAGTGGGTATATTACCATAAATGAAGATCAAGAAGACTTCTGTCGACTTGAAATAAGATCAGGTCCTTGATGCTTTTTCCAAGATACATGTGGGGGTGGGAAGCCAGGTAGTCACAATACATGGATTCCAAACACATAAACTGTGTATATAGCGTATAGCAGGCTATGCAGGCCTGAGTTTTTAGACCCAATATAGGGTTTCCAAAAATGGGGTGAGGTTAAGAAGGCCCTGGACTGCCATTGGTACTTATTAACTCAAAATCCGCAGATAGCCAAAGTAGTAGGAGAGAGCCCCCAAATGGTAGCAAAACGAACTCGGAATCTAAATGATATACTAGTACAATCAGAATTCCAGAGGGCACCACAAAGAAACTGGTTAACGAGGAGAACTGGGGTATATGGAATGTTCCCCCGTGGCCATTGTCAGATTTGTCCATTTGTGCATAAGTCTAATCAGTTCTTTAATAATGATAACTCTAAGATATTCCAAATACGAAGCTTCATCAATTGCTCAAGTAGCAAAATAGTGTACATGATAGAATGTCCTTGCAAGAAGATGTATATAGGTAAAACTAAAAGAAACCTTAGGACGAGGATTGGTGAACATCTGAGAGATATCAGAAATAAAAATAGAAATGTTAGAAAGGGAGAAAAAGAAAATCCATTGGCTCAACACTTCAAAGAAGTTCATGGGGGCAAAACAGATGGTCTAAAAGTAAAAGGGATCTTTCTGTTAAATATTTCAGCTCGTCGGGGTGACTTTGATAAAGTCCTCCTACAAAAGGAAAAATTCTGGATCTATACCCTGGGAGCACTTGCCCCATACGAACTCAATACAGAACTTAACTTTGGGGTTTTTTTTTGAAATGAGTCTTTTGGAACCCCCTATATATCCCAAGCTATAATCTATACTGTGGTATCTTTTATGTGAATTGAATATGGACATATTTGGACAAAATATGAACCTAACCCTGTACTTGATCCTATTTCCTTTAGATAATAAAAACAAAATCTTTATAATAATTGGATTGATATTGAAGCTGAGATAACGGGATTTGGTCTTGATGTTCTCCTCTTTAGAATAAGTATTGTGCTAATATTGATCTCCTCTTTATCATTAATTCCTTTTTTTGAAGTTGATCTGACTGTTAACATTTAGGCTCCTTCCTTCTATATCCAGCAACCATTTTAAATTTAAATTTATATATGTGTTTTAATTCACTTTGGATCATTCCAATGTAGTGATACTCTTTCAACACAAGATGGCGAGGTGGAGACTCTTTGGTATGCAATTAGAGCACCATATAAGGCGAAGTACTGAAGTCCCCTCCCAGTTCTGACGAAGTCTGCGGTGATTGGCGGACGAAACGCGTCAACGTATTGACGTCACTACGCTCGGCGTCTTCACTGGGTGCGGCGCCCACGAGGCGGGAAGGAACGGCGGTGTCACAGCTCTCTGCTAGGAAGGCCATTGACCCTCTGAATACTACCATAAGGCTACTATTGCAGCGGTTCGCAAACGGCAATCTTTCAGGGAAATTTATCTTCCACCGGTGGCAAGTTATTTCAGCTTACGGCTGTTGAGATTTATAGAGCATTTATGGTATTAAAAGGGCATGCTATATGGGCCTAAATTACCCTGT